ATTAAAGGACTCGACGTAATCTTCGGGAGAGACTTTCTTAAAAAATTCAACCCCGAGATCAACTGGGTTAACCGGACGGCCAACATCAACAACAACAGGAGGAAAATTAGCCTTCCCAAATGGGATGATACAGGGAATATTCCAGTCGAGACACTCGCACGCTTTGAAAAGGACGTCAAACGGACCACGGTGGGATTTATGGCGATAGTCAACGAAGCAGACAACGGAGAGAAGCAGACCCAGGAACTTCCTTCAGAAATCAAGCAAATTCTTGAAGAGTTCCAAGACGTTCTTCTCGACGATCTACCTGATCAGCTGCCGGGCCGCCATTCAGGACACACCAACACGAGATCGTGGAAGAGCCGGGATCCAAGCCGACGTTCCGAGCACCATACCGGCTGAGTCCGACGGAGCTTGCCGATATGAAAAAACAAATAGAGTATCTCCTGGAGAAAGGGCTGATTCGACCTTCTACTTCGCCGTACGGAGTTCCAGTTCTTTTTACTCCGAAGCCCGACAAAAGTCTGCGCATGTGCATCGACTACCGTGCACTTAACAAACAGACCATAAAAAATAAATACCCAATACCACGGATTGACGACTTGCTCGATCAACTCCGCGGTGCTACGGTGTTTTCTAAGCTTGACCTCAGATCGGGTTACTGGCAAATTCGAATGGCAGACAACTCGATCCATAAAATTGCCTTCCGAACTCGGTACGGGTCGTACGAGTATCTTGTGATGCCGTTCGGACTCACTAACGCACCAACCACGTTTCAGGCGGAAATGAACCATATCTTTCGGTCCCTTCTGGACGAGTGCGTGGTGGTATACTTAGACGACATCCTGATATACTCGAAAGACATGAAGCAGCACGTTGAGCATCTGCGACGCGTCTTCGAAATTCTCCGACGAGAACGCTTCTACGTGAAACTATCTAAGAGCGAATTTGCATTGAAGAAGGTCCAATTCCTCGGACATATGGTGAGCGCTCAAGGAGTTCACGTGGATCCCAAGAAGATTGAAGCAGTGCGAACGTGGAAGACCCCTGAGAACGTGAAGGAGTTACAGCAGTTCCTCGGATTCGCTAACTACTACAACCGGTTCGTACCAAACTACGCCAAGATCGCCGCACCACTGACTAACCTGTTGAAGAAGAATACACCATTCCAGTGGGAGGCGAAACACCAGGAAGCCGTGGAACAGCTGAAAACCGCACTCACGTCCGCACCTTTCCTTATCCTGCCAGCCCCAAACTTGACTATGTCATCGAGGCCGATGCTAGCGATCAAGCAGTGGGCGCAGTACTAATGCAAGTCCAAGGGAAAGGACTGCAGCCTGTTGCATACCTTAGTAAAAAACTTCAAAGGGCAGAACTCAATTACCCCATCCATGACAAAGAGGCCCTCGCCATCGTCAACGCATTTAAGGCATGGAGGTGTTATCTCGAAGGAAGAAGTCTACACCGACCACTGCAGCCTGAAATACCTAAAATCACAACCAACACTCTCCAGGCGGCAGGTCCGGTGGATTGACTTCCTCGAAACCCACTTCCATTACGACATCGTGTATAAGCCGGGGCACAAGAACAAAGCAGACGCACTCAGTCGCCTGCACACATTGCCGCCCTACAAGTCGATGGCATGAACCCGCTCTTGAAATGACTCTTTACGCATGGATACACCATCGACCCCGAAATCTCTGTAGCGGAAAAACGCCATCTTCTTCATTGGGATCAAGACATCGCATACCGCAAGGGATCCACAAAAATATGGGTACCTAATCACCCTCCATTACGTCAGCTACTACTCGAAGAATATCATGACGTTCTCTATGCGGGCCACTTCGGTAGTAACAAGACACTTGCCGGTATTGCAAAACATTATTATTGGCCCCACTTGACGGATGACGTACAAAAATTCGTCACCTCGTGTGACACATGCCAACAGATGAAGAGCAGCAAGCAGAGGAAAGTCGGTTTACTCCGGCCTCTTCTCGTCCCCGAACAGCCTTGGCAAGTGGTTAGCTTGGACTTCATCACCGGGTTACCACCTACCAAAGCTGGATACGATGCCATCCTAGTCGTCATCGACAAATTTTCTAAAAATGGGACACTTCATCCCGACACACACGACGGCTCGCACTGAGGAAACAACGCAATTATTCTTTCGCTACGTCATCTCGAAGCATGGCATTCCGACTACACTGATCTCCGACAAATATCCAAAATTCACGAGTAAGTTCTGGAAGGAGCTCATGTCACTCATGGGGACCAAACTTGCCATGTCATCAGCTTATCATCCACAAACGGACGGTCAGACGGGGCGCCTCAACCAGATTGTTGAACAGCTTCTGCGAGCAGCGTGTAAGGACAATATCTCTAAATGGGATGCGCACCTGCCGATTCTCGAGTTTGCGTATAACAATGCTCCACACGCCGCAACAGGACAGACCCCTTTCTTCCTTTATTACGGTCGCAACCCACTCACGCCTCAGAAACCGACAGTATCCGCCACGGTGCAACCCACATATGACTTCATTACCACTATGCACCAGTTGTGGGAGCGCACGCATAAACGACTGTTAACTATCCAGCAGCAGCAAAAGAAGCTCGCTGATCGGAGTCGCAACGATCATTCCATCAAGATCGGCGATCAAGTGCTTCTGGATACACGCAATCTCGACATCAGCCATCTTCCGTCTAAGCTCCGACCTCGCTTCTGCGGACCTTTTCTCGTCGAGGCGCAGGTCACTCCAGTAACCTTCCGCTTTCATCTACCCGCTACCTGGAAGATTCACAATGCCTTCCATGTGCAACTTCTCAAGCCTTATCGGGACCCGAACACAGTCTTTAAAGGTCGCCAACCGCCGCCGCCACCGCCAGTTATCGTTAATGGAGAACCTAAGTACGAAGTCGAAGCTGTTCTGGCGCACCGACAATGACGTCACGGCACCTTGGAGCTCTTGATTCGTTGGAAAGGCTATGATCCTTCCGAGGATAGCTGGGTACCTGAACACGACATGGATAACGCCCGTCGTCCTCTCCAGGACTACCTTGTCAAGCAGGGTGTTACTTCTACCACCCAGCTTTGAGGGGGGGAAGTGTAAGAGGACGTCCCCGTTATCATATTTTCTCATTATGATAGTTTTCCTTTATCTTATTCTCCTTTTTCTCCTCTTTATTTTGGTCTTCATTTCATCTCAAACGGTCTACTATTCTATTTTCTAGAGCCTTCTCTTTATTTCACATTTTTTCTATTTTTCCCACCGACATATTTATTATACGGCACCGACAGCGCCGACAGTGGTGTATACGGTGTAATCTGGGCGTAATCCCAAGTGCCAATAGCCTTGCGTGCTTGTGCGCACTTGTGATTCTAGTATCGGGAAGGGTGTGTTCCCGAATGTTCGTTTTATCTCATTTATCCTTGTAATTTCCGAGTATAAAAACGCCTTGTATTCAATTTTAGTGAGACGTTTCGATTCAGAATTTGATCCTGTGACAGTGAGCTCCTGACTGCGATCAAGGCCCGCTACGCTACTCCCACCACTGTCTCTCTTGGTCGACTGTTCCTACCGTTCTTGTTCCCTGACCTCGCCTCGTTTGAGCGCTCTACTGACCTGATCGCTCACCTCCGCTCGCTTGACTCTAGCTACCGCGCTGCCTGCACTGACGCACAGCTTGCACTGCTCCCTCCCCCTATGGCGATTACTATCTATTTCATCGCCACTAGCCTCCCTGACCGCCTTGCCTCGGTTCGTGACGCGCTTCTTCTGAAGCACCCTAGTGAGCTCACTATCGAGGTCCTTGAGTCTGCGCTCAAGGACGTCGAGAGCAACCACCGTTCCGTAGCCTCCGCCTCTGGTGCTGTGCCCCCTCCACTGTTTCACGGGTGCACTGTCCCTCAGCTGCCCACCTTTACTGCCTCCCTCGCCACTGCTGCTACTGACGTGACCGCAGCTGTTGTTACGACTACTTTGCGGTCTCGAGGTAGGGGTGGCAAGAAAGGCGGTCTGGGTGCTGGCGGAGGCGGTGGTGGCGGCGGCGGCGGTGGGGTTGGCGTGGCGACCGGCGGTGGCGGGAATGCGGGGCCTGGAGGAGAGTCTTGTGCAGCGGCCAGTATCTCCCCTGCTGCAGCTGGTGGAGGTGACGCCCGGGTTCGTCAGCCACCTATTGGTCTCCCAGTCGCAGGGGGTGGAGCAGCGGTGTGGTACCTGACTCAGTGGCAGCAGCAGCAGCAGCAGCAGCCCCTCCCCTCGCAGCAGCCCCCGCAGCAGCAGCGGCAGCAGCTGGCTTCGGGGCAGGGGTCCGGACAGCGTCAGCTCCAGCACGGTGTCGTTCACCCTCCGTGCACCTATCACGTTCTGACAGGTGCTCGCCGAGGCCAGCCTTGTGGCCGCACCCACCCACCGGGTCAGTGCTTTGCTCAGCTTACTGAAACGGTTCGCTTGGCCTACGGCGTTGACTTGACGGCCCTGTCCCTGACTGGCTTCCTCTTGTTCAGACGTACGGCCCCGCTCTGTGGGGCATGTCGGCTTCTCAGTTAGTTGATCTCTTAGGAACTCCTCATGCTATGTATGTTGTTGTTGACTCTAGTGCTTCTGACTCTGTTTACTCGAGTGTTGTTAGCTTAGGTGCTAGTCTTGCTGAGGCGCCTGTTACTAGTGTAGGTACTTGAGCAGACACTAGTCCAGGAGCTGCTTCGGAGGAGGCCTCGCTGTCTTTCACTCTAGACTCCGGAGCTCCGCGACCACACGACGCTTACACCACTTCCAGCGCCGGTCTCTGTAGCACTAACTGATCCCACTTCAGGATCAGTCACTGCTCGCTACACTACTACGCTTCCGTGCCCAGCTGTTCCGTCCGTCTCTCTAACGAGCTTCTACGTCCCCTCGTTCTCGAGGAACTTGGTGGGTGTGAGGCCACTCGCGAGTCAGCACGTGGGTGTGTGGGTTGAGCCCTCTGGCAAGACAGCGGTTTGTGTGGACGGGGACTCGTACATGCCTCTCGCCACCTTTACTGCTGAGCCGGGCTCCGGTCTCTACACACTTCACACTGGCCCCCGAGGAGCAGCAGCAGCCGCAGCAGCAGCCGCAGCAGCAGCAGCAGCAGCAGCAGCAGCAGCAGCAGCAGCAGCAGCAGCAGCAGCAGCAGCAGCAGCAGCAGCAGCAGCAGCAGCAGCAGCAGCAGCAGCAGCAGCAGCAGCAGCAGCAGCAGCAGCAGCAGCAGCAGCAGCAGCAGCGGCGGCGGCAGCAGCAGCAGCGGCGGCGGCGGCAGCAGCAGCAGCGGCGGCGGCGGCGGCAGCGGCAGCAGCAGCAGCGGCGGCGGCGGCAGCAGCAGCGGCGGCAGCAGCGGCGGCGGCAGCAGCAGCAGCGGCGGCAGCAGCGGCAGCAGCAGCAGCAGCAGCGGCAGCAGCAGCAGCAGCAGCAGCAGCAGCGGCAGCAGCAGCAGCAGCAGCAGCAGCAGCAGCAGCAGCAGCAGCAGCAGCAGCAGCAGCAGCAGCAGCAGCAGCAGCAGCAGCAGCAGCAGCAGCAGCAGCAGCAGCAGCAGCAGCAGCAGCGGCAGCATCAGCAGCACCAGCTCCTGCCCCCGGCCCTTGTCACTGCCCCCCGTCAGGTCCCCGCGTCTCACCAGGTTGCCGTGTCCCCCCAGGCAACTGTGTCTGGTTAGGTTCCCTTGTCTGGTCTAGTTGCGGCGTCTTGCTCCTGCCGGTCGCTTGCCCACCCCACCGTTCTGTGGCACCACCGGATGGGACACCCTTCCATTCCTCGTCTGCGCGCTATGTCTAGTCAGCGTCTTGTCTTAGGCCTCCCTTGTGTCTTGCCGTCGCTGCCGCCTTCGCTTGCACCACCGTGCGGTCCCTGCGTCGAGGGTCGGCTGCGCGCCACCCCTCACTCCTCCTCCCTACGTGCGGCCACCGAGCCTTTTGAGACTCTCCACTTGGACGTCTGGGGCCCCGCCTCTCGCCCTGGCCCTGAGCGCTAGCGTTTCTTTATGGTGGTCGAGGACTCCTCTGACTTCACCTTTTACCACCCTCCCTCTCACCGGTTCTTTGACTCCCGTGACGTCCGTTTCGAGGAGTCCACCCCCTACTACGTCAGGTACCCCTGTCGAGGTCTCCCGGTTCCTCCTTTCCCTCTCTTCCTCACTTCTGCCGCTCCCCCTCCTGCTCCCCCGGTACAGCCTCCCGCCCCTAGTCCAGCCCCGTCAGGTTTTTCCCACGCTACCCCTCCCCCCTCGGTGACCCCTCAGGTGTAGTCTCGTTCCCCGCAGTCCTCCCCACAGCCTACTGCAGACCCTGCGAGGGACGGTGTTCGTGGCGAGGACGCAGGTGGTGCCGGCTCTCGCGGTGTTGGGGTTGGAGTTGAGAGCGTCCCTGCGAGGGGTCCTAAATCTGGGGGTGCTGGAGCCCGTGGCTGCAGGAGACTCTAGTCTTCCGGGAGCTGGTGTTGGTCGAGCTGACCCTGAGGGTACTACGAGTGGGGGTGCGGGTGCGCCCTCTGCGGGCCCTCGTGAGTCTGGCCGTGTTGTTGTTGGTGGTACTGGCTCTGGGGGTGACGCGTCTGGTGCTTTGGAGAGCAGTCCTGGAGCTAGCGCCGCCCCGGACACTACTCCTCCCCCCCACCCCTACCCGACTCGGCTCCAGGCTCGTGTTCGCTGTGCCCATGAGGAGCAGCTGGAGTTGGAGAGAGAGGAGAGAGAGTTGGATCAGCAGCTACTGGAGCTGCAGCGGCTGGAGGAGCAGCAGCAGCAGGAGCAGCAGCGGCAGCCGCAGCAGCAGGAGCAGGAGCAGCGGTCGCAGCCGCAGCAGGAGCAGCTACAGTCGCCCCCTCCTCCTCCTGTCTCTGGTCTTCGGACCCTCGGTCTCCCCTCTCGCTCTCCTTCCTCCTCCCCCTCTCCTCCCGTCTACGGTTGCACGTTTCCTCCTCCTGGCTCTTCCCTAGTTGTTTTCCGTCGTCCTCAGCCTTCGTTGTCCCCTCCTCCTTCTCAGACTTGGGCCTCTCGTCGCTCTCCTCGTGCTTGTCCCTCGTCTCCTGTTCCCGTTACTGACCTTCGTACCGCCCTCTTTCGTTCTCGTCCGCCTCGTTGTCTCCATCAGTACTTCCTTCTCCTCCTGAGTCGGCCCTCACTGCTTCCCTCTCTACTCCTGTCACTGACTACTACCGCACGTACCGTCCTGTTCTCTCTCGTGTTCTCGCCTCTCTTATTACCGACCCTCGTGCCTCTCTATCCTCTGTCTCCGCTCTTACTGTAACAGTCACTGAGTTTGCCTCTACTCGCCGCCTAGACTACGCCACCAGTCTTGTGCCAGTCCTCTGGCCGTCGAGGGTGAGTCTACCCTTGGCTGTGACGCCCTAGAGGACAGGCAGTTTGAGCTAGAGTTCCTGGCAGCTGCTTCCACTCATCTTTGTGCCATACTGCTCACCCCTGAGGGAGACCCCGACGCCCTTGATATGCCGACTCCTCGCACTTACGCAGAGGCCGTATCACGGCCATGGGCCTCTTAGTGGAGAGCTGCCATGGACGCAGAGATGGCCTCTTACAGATCCACAGGCACCTACGTCGACGAGGTTCCCCCCCCTGGGGCGAACGTAGTCGATGGCATGTGGATCTACAGGGTGAAGCGGCCACCGGGATCTCCTCCAGTCTTCAAGGCGCGCTACGTGGCTAGAGGTTTCAGTCAGCGCGAGGGAGTCGACTTCTTTCAGACCTTCGCGCCTACCCCAAAGATGACTACTCTTCGGGTGTTACTGCACGTACCAGCTCAGAGAGACTACGAGCTACACTCTCTCGACTTCTCCACTGCCTTCCTTCAGGGTAGCCTACACGAGGAGGTCTGGTTGCGTCGTCCCTCTGCCTTTACTGGCACTTTCCCTCCTGGGACACTGTGGAGGCTGAGGCGACCGGTCTACGGTCTCCGCCAGGCTCCTCGTGAGTGGCACGACACCCTTCGTTCTACTCTGTCTGACCTCGGTTTCCAGCCGTCTTCTGCCGACCCGTCGCTGTTCGTTCGTCGTGGCTCCACACCGTTCTTTGTACTGGTCTACGTCGATGACCTGGAATTCGCCACTGCTGACAGGGCTGCTTTGGCTGATGTGAAGCGCGAACTGCAGAAGAGACACACGTGCACTGACCTTGGTGAGCTGCGCCACTACCTTGGCCTGCAGATCACCAGGGACAGAGCCGCTCGCACCATTACACTCTCACAGTCACACATGGTGCAGCAGGTCCTTCAGCGGTTCGAGCTTCAGCACTCCACAGTACAGCGCACACCTCTTGCTATTGACCACAGACTCACTGGACCCTTTCCTGACGAGTCGTTTGAGCCTAGTGGTCCCTACGCAGAGCTGGTGGGCTGCCTCATGTACCTGATGACTTGTACTCGCCCGGACCTCGCCTTCCCTCTCAGCATCCTTGCTCGCTTTGTTGCGCCAGGGAGACACCGTCCTGTTCACTGGACGGCAGCTGTGAGGGTGGCGAAGTACCTAGCGACGACATCAGGCGTGGGGCTGGTTCTTGGAGGGCAGCAGTCTGTCGTACTTACTGGTCACTGTGACTCTTCTTACGCTGACGACGCTGAGACTCACAGGTCTACTCAGGGGTACTGCTTCAGCCTGGGCTCTGGAGCTGTTTCGTGGAGGTCCACACGTTCCTCCTCGGTCTCGACCTCTACCGCTGAGGCTGAGATCTACGCTGGTGCCATGGCGGCACAGGAGCTGCGTTGGTTGACCTTCTTGCTCGCCGACCTTGGTGAGCGGCCGAGCTCTGCACCGACCTTGTTCACTGACAACAAGGCATCGATTCTCCTCTGTCGAGAGCCGCGACTGGAGAGCAGAGTGAAGCACATTAACGTCAGGTACTTTCTTCTGCGAGAGTTGCATAGACGTGGACAGGCTCGTTTCGAGTAGAAGGAGTCTGAGGCCAACACTGCAGACATCTTCACCAAGGCGCTTCCGCCTTGTTACCACCAGAGGTGTTATGTGCAGTTAGGCCTTGTTGACACATATTCTCGTCGTGTGTGGACTTGAATCCTCTGCTTGTTTTGCTTGTACACTTTGCATAGACCTTTGTGAACTCTTGGACTGGCCTTGTGGCCTCTTTTGCTTGTGCTCAGAGTGTGTGGTGACGTTGTGATCCACCCTGAGCTTTGTTTCTTTGTGACTGGTCTTGTGACCGTACACTTTTGGTTTTGCTTGACACCCCTCACTTAGACTATGGGGGTGTGTCAAATGTTGTAGTCTTAGTAATGTGTATCATAGGGGGTACAACTCTTAGGGTTAGGTTTATGTACCCTTACCAACATTGTGAATGCAATAGTTTCGATTCTGACAACCTGGTAGTTGTGGTGTCACCGTAGTTCTGTGCACTGCAATATTGATGATAACCTTCTGTTGTTAATTACAGTAGTGATCTACGCAGCATGCTATTCCTGACCAGACCCCCTGCCTCCATTAAGACCCTTCTGTCAGCATCATCAGTCTGTACATAAGAGCCTTTGGTAGCCTTTCACTTATCAATTTTTCATAAAACCAGGTGTAGATGGATGCCTACATTCTATAAGGGATTTTCTGGGGGCAATCTTAGTGCACACCCTTTGGCGCAAGATGATCCGAGGGCGAATTCCACTTCCTCCCAAAACACCAGTGCAAGGAATTCAAACACTGATGGCGATGGCAAACAATATCGTGAGAAGGTTTTCTTGGGGGAACCAATCCGCGGAAACGCGGAAATTCCTGCGCCCAACACAAGCAACCAAGCGGAATTTCGAAAGAATATCATACGCGCAACCAAGCGGAAGGCATCGTTTGCCCTGGTAAGGGCGCGTGTGATCTATGAAAATTTGTCAAAGTTCGAAATGAAACCGCTTTGCACCATGGTGAAAAATATCTCAATTATGTCCTACCGTGTAGAACCTTTCTCAAAGTTCAAACTTTGAGAAGTTCGAAAAAATATCACACGCGCCAGCACAACAGCCCAACAACCTAGCGGTTTACCAACGTACACATGATGCTCATTTGACTAACCTGAGGTTGCCTTATGAAGGGAGCTCGTAAGCAATTCTTCGCATTTCGCAAAGGTTTCGTCAGTTCGCAGCTAGCAAAAAAGGATTTCGTCAGGTGCTCATAAGGTAGGTGTAACTTCTCCGTTGACATTTTGACTTCAGTCTCTTCATTTTGACTTCGGTCCCTTCGTTTCTATTGGTTCAGAATCGCTGCAACTTGCGCGAGGTGCTTGTAACGTGGGTGCAACTGGCTGGGAAAAAAAACACGGATGCAGGCTTCCCATCCGGTGAGGGCAAATTCGCGTGCAGGGGTTGAGCATCATGTGTAAAGCCGACCGTCTCACAACTGAGATAGGAACGCGACTTAAAGCTCAAGGCCCAAATTGCGGGCCGCGCAGGGCAAGATTAGTAATCTTGCACACTTCTCGTTTTCTGTGCTGGTGTGTGGCGAAAATTTGGTTACAGTAGGTGCGATGCAATCTGATTGGTCGAACCAAAACTCACTGCCAAAACATCGAGTTTTACTACTATGCAATTTGGGACTCGAGGTCCCCAAACTCACGTTTCCCCCGGAAGCTCGCTGACTCAGCGAAAAAAACAAGTGTTACGGGCGAAATCCGACAGGTCACCTTCCCAACACTCCCCTCGACCCCCACGTTCTCAAACCCACCCCTCACCACGCAAGATTAGTAATCTTGTGCAATTTGGGCCTAGAGCTTTAAACTACAACGGGCAATTACTAGCATCAGTAGTAAAAATCGAACTATTTAGAGGCGCGCATCTACGTCAGATCAGAGCCATCACGCAGGCCTTTGCATAGTATACGCCTTCCCACAGGGACCAGCAACCCCATTCGCAGGTTAGGAGCCACAAACGACGCAGCCTCGCCGCATCATCGCCTGCTTGTCGCGTCGCCCTCGTCACAGCGTCCTCGCCAGATTGCGAAGCGAGGCATCCGCTCAAACGCGGCCGCGACAGTCTACTCGCCACAAGTGCGGGGCTCGCCTCACCGCCATCGTTGCATCATCCTCAATTTTTGTGTCGCCTCCTCGCCCGGGTTGCATCCGCGCCGCTTCGCGCCCTGACCGTGCCGCCACCTCGCCTCATCATCGCCTCCCTTACTCCTCGCCGCCCCCGCCGTCTCGCCCTCTTCCGTCCCGCGCCTCGCCACCCTCATCCCTTCCCCCCCAGGTCGCACCTCCCTTCCCCCCCATGTCGCACCTCCCTTCCCCCCCAGGTCGCACCTCCCTTCCCCCACATGTCGAACCTCCCTTCCCCCCCATGTCGAACCTCCCTTTTCCCCCAGGTCGCACCTCCCTTCCCCTCTTTCTATCTCCTCCCTTCCCTCTCCCCCCTCTTTACCTCATGTCCCTCCCTCCTTCCCCTCGTTTCACCCTTCTCTTCCGCAGTTCCCCACTACTTTCTCTCCTGGTTTCCCCCCTACGCCCTTCCGCCACCCGCGCCTGCAGCCGTGTGACCGCCACTGAACCGCCAGAGGCGCGTTTGACAAGGTGCCGAGATGCGCACATTCACACGCCAGCGCCTTTCAACATCCCACCCAACCTCTTCCTCTCCGCCCATTCCTCTCTGTCCTCCAGTAGTGGTGAGTGCGCGCGTGGTGAGTGAGGTGGCATGAGTCCCGTCGCAGCAATGTGGGTGCGAGAGGGCAACGGGAAACGGGAGGGCAACGGGAGGGCAACGGGTAACGGGAGGGCAGTGTCACTGGAACTCATCTGCGCTCACACGCACCCGTGAATCCTTATTCATCCCTCCAATCCCCTTCTCCTCTGCCCATTCCTTACCCACCAGACTTGCACATCTGCCTCATGCCCCCCCATTTCTCTCCCTCACTCCCCCTTCCTTGTCCCCTTCTTTCTCCCTTTTCTTGCCCTCCTTTTCCTCCCTTTCTTCCGTTTCCCCTCCGTTCTCCCTCTCCCCCTCCACCCCCCATCCTCTGCCCTTCCTTTCCCCCTCCTTTCCCCCTCTTTCCCCCTTCTGCAGCTGTCAGAGCTGCGGAGCTGCCTTCCTTTCGCAACATCAATTGCCCTGCCGCTCTCCTCTTTTTCCTGCGTGCCGGGCTGAATGTGCCGTGCATGCGGCAGGAGGGCAGCGGGGCGCCATGCAGGGTTTAGGGCATGGGCGGGGATGCAGGCAGGCGTGGCCTCTTCACTCTCCCTGCCTCCACACGAGCTGCACAGCCTCTCCTCCTTACCTGTTTGGCCTTGTGACTGCAGCAAGACAAGGCATAGCATGAGTCTCACCACTCAGCAGGAGCTACATCAGCCAACATGTGAGCAGAGGCGACAAGAGGAGCAGTGGAAGGCTGTTCTGTACCTCAGAGTAATGTTCTCCACACCCTTCAGTGCTGCAACAGGGGGAGACCATTACAAATACCCGCACATACCAATGCCATCATTATTGAGTATGAACCCTAAGTTGATTACTTATTTTAATAATACCTTGAGGTTATGAAACGGCAAGAGAAGACAGCACACAATCCTAAATCTAACTAACTTGTCTGTTTGGTTGCATCATGCATGATGAGCTGCACCACAGAACAGAGGGCAGGGAGGGGAGATAGTGGAGAAGGTGGAGGGAAATAGGGGAGCAAGGGAGAGAGGAGAGGAAGGGGAAACAAAGGGTAAGCAGGGGGGAAACAAAGGTTATCAGGGGGGTAATAAAGAGTAAGCAGGTGGGGAAACACATGGTATGCAGGGGGGGAGCGGTAGGATAGAGAGAGAATGCCTACCCCACCGCCCCCTCTCCCCCCCTTCTCGCTGCTTATTCCCACTGTACGCCCCCTCCCCTCCCCTCCCCTCCCCTCCCCTCCCCTCCCCTCCCCTCCCCTCCCCTCCCCTCCCCTCCCCTCCCCTCCCCTCCCCTCCCCTCCCCTCCCCTCCCCTCCCCTCCCCTCCCCTCCCCTCCCCTCCCCTCCCCTCCCCTCCCCTCCCCTCCCCTCCCCTCCCCTCCCCTCCCTCCCCTCCCTCCTCCTCGCTTCTTCCCTCCTCCTCGCTTCTTCCTCCTCCTCCTCGCTCTTCCCTCCTCGCTTCGCTTCTTCCCTCCTCCTCGCTTCTTCCCTCCTCCTCGCTTCTTCCCTCCTCCTCGCTTCTTCCCTCCTCCTCGCTTCTTCCCTCCTCCTCGCTTATTCCCTCCTCCTCGCTTCTTCCCTCCTCCTCGCTTATTCCCTCCTCCTGGCTTCTTCCCTCCCTCCTCGCTTCTTCCCTCCTCCTCGCTTCTTCCCTCCTCCTCGCTTCTTCCCTCCTCCTCGCTTCTTCCCTCCTCCTCGCTTATTCCCTCCTCCTCCTCGCTTCTTCCCTCCTCCTCGCTTATTCCCTCCTCCTCGCTTCTTCCCTCCCTCCTCGCTTCTTCCCTCCTCCTCGCTTCTTCCCTCCCTCCTCGCTTCTTCCCTCCTCCTCGCTTCTTCCCTCCTCCTCGCTTCTTCCCTCCTCCTCGCTTCTTCCCTCCTCCTCGCTTCTTCCCTCCTCCTCGCTTCTTCCCTCCTCCTCGCTTCTTCCCTCCTCCTCGCTTCTTCCCTCCTCCTCGCTTCTTCCCTCCTCCTCGCTTCTTCCCTCCTCCTCGCTTCTTCCCTCCTCCTCGCTTCTTCCCTCCTCCTCGCTTCTTCTTCCCTCCTCCTCGCTTCTTCCCTCCTCCTCGCTTATTCCCTCCCCTCCCTCCTCCTCGCTTATTCCCTCCCCTCCCTCCTCCTCGCTTATTCCCTCCCCTCCCTCCTCCTCGCTTATTCCCTCCCCTCCCTCCTCCTCGCTTATTCCCTCCCCTCCCTCCTCCTCGCTTATTCCCTCCCCTCCCTCCTCCTCGCTTATTCCCTCCCCTCCCTCCTCCTCGCTTATTCCCTCCCCTCCCTCCTCCTCGCTTATTCCCTCCCCTCCCTCCTCCTCGCTTATTCCCTCCCCTCCCTCCTCCTCGCTTATTCCCTCCCCTCCCTCCTCCTCGCTTATTCCCTCCCCTCCCTCCTCCTCGCTTATTCCCTCCCCTCCCTCCTCCTCGCTTATTCCCTCCCCTCCCTCCTCCTCGCTTATTCCCTCCCCTCCCTCCTCCTCGCTTATTCCCTCCCCTCCCTCCTCCTCGCTTATTCCCTCCCCTCCCTCCTCCTCGCTTATTCCCTCCCCTCCCTCCTCCTCGCTTATTCCCTCCCCTCCCTCCTCCTCGCTTATTCCCTCCCCTCCCTCCTCCTCGCTTATTCCCTCCCCTCCCTCCTCCTCGCTTATTCCCTCCCCTCCCTCCTCCTCGCTTATTCCCTCCCCTCCCTCCTCCTCGCTTATTCCCTCCCCTCCCTCCTCCTCGCTTATTCCCTCCCCTCCCTCCTCCTCGCTTATTCCCTCCCTCCCCTCCCTCCTCCTCGCTTATTCCCTCCTTCCCCCCCATCCTCGCTGCTTATTCCCTCCTTCCCCCCCCCTCCTCGCTGCTTATTCCCTCCTTCCCCCCCTCCTCGCTGCTTATACCCTCCTCCCCCCCCTCCTCGCTGCTTATTCCCTCCTTCCCCCCCTCCTCGCTGCTTATTCCCTCCTTCCCCCCCTCCTCGCTGCTTATTCCCTCCTTCCCCCCCTCCTCGCTGCTTATTCCCTCCTTCCCCCCCTCCTCGCTGCTTATTCCCTCCTTCCCCCCCTCCTCGCTGCTTATTCCCTCCTTCCCCCCCTCCTCGCTGCTTATTCCCTCCTTCCCCCCCTCCTCGCTGCTTATTCCCTCCTTCCCCCCCTCCTCGCTGCTTATTCCCTCCTTCCCCCCCTCCTCGCTGCTTATTCCCTCCTTCCCCCCCTCCTCGCTGCTTATTCCCTCCTTCCCCCCCTCCTCGCTGCTTATTCCCTCCTTCCCCCCCTCCTCGCTGCTTATTCCCTCCTTCCCCCCCTCCTCGCTGCTTATTCCCTCCTTCCCCCCCCCCTCCTCGCTGCTTATTCCCTCCTTCCCCCCCTCCTCGCTGCTTATTCCCTCCTTCCCCCCCTCCTCGCTGCTTATTCCCTCCTTCCCCCCCTCCTCGCTGCTTATTCCCTCCTTCCCCCCCTCCTCGCTGCTTATTTCCCTCCTTCCCCCCCTCCTCGCTGCTTATTCCCTCCTTCCCCCCCTCCTCGCTGCTTATTCCCTCCTTCCCCCCCTCCTCGCTGCTTATTCCCTCCTTCCCCCCCTCCTCGCTGCTTATTCCCTCCTTCCCCCCCTCCCCCCTCGTTCTCGCCGCTAACCTCCCTCCCAAATTGCTGCTTACCCACTCGCACATTCTCGCTCCCATCCCCCTCGCACCTCCGCGGTATCGCTGCTCATTCCTGTCCACGCATCACGCCTCCTCGCCGCAAATTCCGGTTCCAGGAAACATGTTACCCGCTACTCAATTCCAGACAGCAGTAGGAGAGAGGGGAGCTTGCCTGCGGAGAGGTGGGGAGGTGATGGGAGTGAGGGAAGGTAAGTTGGACAGCAGAAAGCAACTCGCATCGAGCAACGAGCAACGTCGGTTCTGTGACGACAGTCACAAAGTGGAAGCTACGACACCAGGGAAGAGAGAGCAGGGAGGGAAGAGCGAGCAGGGGGGAAACAATGGGTAAGCAGGGGGGAAACAATGGGTAAGCAGGGGGGAAACAATGGGTAAGCAGGGGGGAAACAATGGGTAAGCAGGGGGGAAACAATGGGTAAGCAGGGGGGAAACAATGGGTAAGCAGGGGGGAAACAATGGGTAAGCAGGGGGGAAACAATGGGTAAGCAGGGGGGAAACAATGGGTAAGCAGGGGTGAAACAATGGGTAAGCAGGGGTGAAACAATGGGTAAGCAGGGGTGAAACAATGGGTAAGCAGGGGTGAAACAATGGGTAAGCAGGGGTGAAACAATGGGTAAGCAGGGGTGAAACAATGGGTAAGCAGGGGTGAAACAATGGGTAAGCAGGGGTGAAACAATGGGTAAGCAGGGGTGAAACAATGGGTAAGCAGGGGTGAAACAATGGGTAAGCAGGGGTGAAACAATGGGTAAGCAGGGGTGAAACAATGGGTAAGCAGGGGTGAAACAATGGGTAAGCAGGGGTGAAACAATGGGTAAGCAGGGGTGAAACAATGGGTAAGCAGGGGTGAAACAATGGGTAAGCAGGGGTGAAACAATGGGTAAGCAGGGGTGAAACAATGGGTAAGCAGGGGTGAAACAATGGGTAAGCAGGGGTGAAACAATGGGTAAGCAGGGGTGAAACAATGGGTAAGCAGGGGTGAAACAATGGGTAAGCAGGGGTGAAACAATGGGTAAGCAGGGGTGAAACAATGGGTAAGCAGGGGTGAAACAATGGGTAAGCAGGGGTGAAACAATGGGTAAGCAGGGGTGAAACAATGGGTAAGCAGGGGTGAAACAATGGGTAAGCAGGGGTGAAACAATGGGTAAGCAGGGGTGAAACAATGGGTAAGCAGGGGTGAAACAATGGGTAAGCAGGGGTGAAACAATGGGTAAGCAGGGGTGAAACAATGGGTAAGCAGGGGTGAAACAATGGGTAAGCAGGGGAGAAACAATGGGTACGCAGGAGATAGGACGGGGAATTCGCATTGCCTTGGGGCCAGAGGTGCGATGTGAGAGAGGAACATTGGACACTGGAGAATGCAGCGGGTATGGAAAGGCGAAAGGTGCGTATAGGACGGGAAAAGGCAGGGCGTAGGGATAGGGGAAAGCCAACAGTAGGAAATGTGGAAAACCAGCGCAAGGGGAAGCGGGGAAGCAGCGCGAGGGGAAGCGGGGAAGCAGCGCGAGGGGAAGCGGGGAAGCAGCGCGAGGGAAAGCGGGGATGCAGCGCGAGGGGAAGCGGGGATGCAGCGCGAGGAGAAGCGGCAAAGCAGCGCGCGGGGAAGCGGGAATGCAGCGCGAGGGGAAGCAGGGAAGCAGCGCGAGGGGAAGCGGGGATGAAGCGCGAGGGGAAGCGGGGAAGAAGCGCGAGGGGAAGCGGGGATGCAGCGCGAGGGGAAGCGGGGATGCAGCGTGAGGGGAAGCAGGAATGCAGCACGGCGGGGATTTGCCTGCGGAAGTGTTAGAACGCTGGAGCGCTGTGAGAGTGCCTTCCAGGACAGCGGTGGGATAGGGGGAACTTGCCGCTGTCTAATCCCGCTTTTCACGAACTCAATCCGCAATCACATTTCTACGCCATGCACCACCTCGCCGCATGGAACCTTTACTTCACTTCTTGCGACTGGCTCATCACGCTCTACTATCACGCTTCTCGCAAAGAGCTTTTTTCAATGCTCAATACTAATGGATCCTCAAGTAAAACATGCCATCTAGCGGCATGGTGACCGTTGAAGTTGTCGCAGCAATCGTTTACGAAACGCGGCCCATACGGCGAGCAGATATCCGGCGACGAGACCAGCTGATCTAAGGCCACGAGGCGAACAGATCTTAGGCGAGGAGGTGAACCACTGTTAGGCGAGGCGGCGCTCTGATATCGCGCGACGAGTACAGGGAAGAACGCGACGCTGTGTTTGACTGCGCTGGTAATCCGCGGCCGACGCGGCTTAAATCGCTATTGCGATGGAGGTGAAGGTAGGCGAAGCAGGTTTCATTTTGTGGCGAGAATAATTCCATCCCAAAAATGGGCCCCCCCGAAAAGTAGGGTTTCGGGGGGTATGTGTTGGGAAAAGCTACTTTCCACGCGTCGCGTCGAAACGAAATCAGCCCAAGCAGGCTCGGAACTCTCGAAACTGCTTGGGCAGGAAGCGTGGCAGCTTCGAAAACCACCCGATTGGTTGGGCAGTTGGATAGCAGCTTCGGCAGCATATTTCAGCCTCGGTACCCTTCAGGAAGGCCAGGAACAAGGCTCCCGCCTCCCAAAGGCGGTGGGTCACGTACGAAATTGATGTGCTGGCGTTGGATAAAATGGAATATTTGAAAACTGTCTGAATACATTGACATGTGAAAATAAATACATTTTATACTACAACTGTGCTCTAATGTTGGTATGGTGACTAGTGAATGTTAAACATGTTTTGAGATGTATATTAGACATCTGGTTCCATTATCCTGATATTTAATTGTGTTGTCGATCAGAATAAACGGTTACCTGGGCCTCGCACGAAATTGTTGTGCTAGCTTCTGATAAATCGTATATCATTACAGTGCCGAAAAATATTAGATATGGAATCTTCTGTGAAGGGTTACATTAGGCATCTAATTCCGAAATTTCAATATCGCTGCATCTTAATTACGATGGTCTTCCATAACCATTAACATTGAAACTAGAGTCTCAACATTATTTAGAAGAATAATGAATATAAATCTCCATCATAATAGATTCATTGAATGTGTTACGAATAGTAATACCCGAATGTTACTGTGCACTCCTCACCGCAGCAAAGAGAAGCATGCAGTATCGAGAACGAATGCGAAGAGTCAGTTAGTCAAGAATTGACTCGAAGCATCAGACGGTTACAGCACATATGAACCGTCGGAGCAGAAGGCATCGTATAGCTGCAGGCATAATGGCTTTGGCGGGAACAGTTTCGTAACTGTACGCGCCGCACGGTTCAATTTGAATAAGGGAATGTACCCCTTAGAGTATATGGCTAGCTAGGACGTTTCGCCTTCCCTGTACTCCTATTTATATCGTTGTATTTGCATGTTTTAATTCAATCTCAAGCATTTTACATTCACTCTGCTATTGAGGTCAAGGGCCCACCAACACTACCTTATGTTAGAATCTAGCAGCAGGAATGGATGAACTAACAGGATGCAGGAGTACAAGTAGTAAACCCTAACTAGGTTGTACCCCATATGGGCTACCCCACTACAGCCTAGACAATATGCAGCACATATAGTTTGACACACCCCCATAGGCAAAGTGGGGGAGAACAAGGGGTCACACGACCAGTCAAGAGAAGCAAAACAAGCTCAGGGTGGATCACAACGTCACCACGCATTCTGAGCACAAGCAAAGGGCCACTGGGCCAGTTCACATGCAGAGATATATATATGCAGCAATAACAGTACAGTGATGGCTACCTAGCAAGAGCCAGCATGCATATATATATATATATATATATATGTACAGATCACAGTACAAGCAGAGACTACAGCAAGTGTGGAAACGTAGGCACAAGGCCTAACAGAGTACAAAAGCGCTGATGATCACCAGACGGAAGTGCCTTGGTGAATATGTCAGCAGTGTTGGCCCGAGTGGCCACGTGGCGAAGACGAAGCTGGCCTCGCTGCTGCAACTCTCGAGCCAGGAAGTACCGCAGAGCAATGTGCTTCGTTCTGTGCTCCAGTCTGTGCTCCTCACACAAGGCAATGGCGGCCTTGTTGTCAACGTACAGCACTGGAGGAGAACGAGGCTGCTCTCCCAAGTCAGTCAGCAGGTAGGTGAGCCAGCGTAACTCCTGTGCAGCCATGGCGGTGGCGTAGATCTCAGCCTCACAACTGGAGCCGAGAACTGAAGTCGAGCGTGTAGAACGCCACGAAACTGAACCAGAGCCAAGGCTGAAGGTGTAACCCTGTGACGACCGCTGAGTAGCCAGGTCGTCAACCCAAGAAGCGTCTGAGTGCCCAGTGAGGACAACTGGGCTCGTCCCTCCAAGCACTAGCCCCATGCCTGATGTGCTGCACAAGTAACGCAGTACCCTCTTAGCAGCAGCCATGTGCTCAGGTCGGTGCCGACCAGGAGCCACGTAGCGAGCCAGGAGACCAAGAGGGTACGCGAGGTCAGGTCGAGTGCAAGTCATCAGGTACATGAGGCAGCCGACTAGCTCTGGGTAAGGACCACTCGGCTCTACGGACTCGTCCGAAGGTGGAGCTGAGAGCGTGTGACCTGTAGCCAGAGGAGTGGCCTGTGCTGAAGACCAGGTGAAGCCGAAGCGCTGAAGGACCTGCTGCACCATGTATGACTGAGTCAAGGTGATGGTGCGACGTGCTCTGTCTCGGGTGATCTGCAAGCCAAGGTAGCTGCGCAGCTCACCCAAGTCTGTGCACGTGTGTCTCTTCTGCAGCTCCGACTTCACGTGGGCGAGAGCCTCAGTGTCAGCAGTGGCAAAAACCAAGTCGTCGACATACACGAGGATGTAGAACGGCGGCAGGGAAGTGTCGGTGCGCAGAAACAGCGACGGGTCAGCAGTAGAAGGTGCAAACCCAAGAGCCGCAAGCGTAGTCCTCAGTGTGTCGTGCCACTCACGTGGCGCCTGGCGGAGACCGTAGACCGGCCGCCGGAGGCTCCACTGGGTACCAGGAGGGAACGACCCAGTGAAGCCCGGGGGGCGGCGCAGCCAGATCTCC